TCAAAGGCAATGTGGGCACATCGGTCCTGACTTCCCTTTTTCAACAGCTCAAATTGGCTCACACACTTTTAGGTAGTCTTGTTTTGTTATCCCGGTTCTGCTTTTTTGTTGGCTTCCTTAAGTGTGTCTGCAAATACAGCAGCTGCAGTGTTATATGATGGTGTTAGTGACTGTGCACACACACAGCATCACCTCGATACACTATCGTGATTTTGTTCTTTAGTGTGCATGAGTATTTGAGAACACTGAGAATGCCTTTTAAGAAAGAAATCACCCTTGTTCCTGTGAAATCAAATACAAGTAACTAAAAATGCTGTTATCTTTAAGTGACAGAGAAGCTTGAGTAAGAATGGAAGAATTGTTTAAATATGCAGTAATGAATTAATATCTTTTCTATTTCTTTGTTTAAGCCTCTATGGCGTGAAAACTGGACATTGGCTGTTGTAATATTTGGCTTTCAGGAACGTTTGTCAGGTACATATAAAGACACTGGACAGGAGGGCACTATTTATGACATTTATCGGTCTATATTAATCTAAAAATTAACTGAAATATATGTTAGTTAGTTGAGCGCTATCATTGATTAGTTGAGAGCACAACCGTGCAATAACTCCATAATGAGCTCCCTTAAATATCAGTGTAAACAAAGCCTACGCAGACAGAAATAAAGCGGAGACAGTTAAAATGGGGAGTGTAATAACGGTGCTGTTAGCGACACATAACAAATAAAGTTAAAAGACGCTAAATAATGAGCTCGTGCCGCTCACCTTGCGCGTGTTCAGCCGGCCTCCTCCTCCGGCTGGTCGTGTCCGGGCTCCCCGTGGACGACAGAGACATCTCTGCCGGTAAAAACACTTCACCGTTTGCTGAGTGTGTTACCGGAGCCTGACCGGATCATCTCCTCGGATGCTGCTGTCGCTGTCGCGTGGACTCACTTGATTTAATGAGTGTTATGGAGCGTGGAATTATGGGAAATGTAGGCCTCTGGCGTCTTAAAGGGAAAAGCCACAATAAAACGCAACAACTGTTCACTTCAGCTCAGCCGAGCCTTTGTTAACTGAAAAATAAAAATACAAAGTCGTCTGACTAAATAAATAAATATTTTTTAATATATGTATATTTGTTTTTATTTCAGCTATTTAACTTTACAATAATTACATTTTGTTATTAAAAAGGCTAAGTGTGAGTGGTTTGGAGTCTTTTACCCTTCTTGAACTGTTGCTGGTACTGAAGGTGTTGCCAGTTTAGTTAATTCATTTGAAAGGACTCCCGGTGTCCGGTGCAAGTCGTGAAACAAACACTTCTTATTAATTATACTTCTTATTAATTATATAATGATGCTGGCATATTAGTGAATTAAACATTGTATTTCATAAATATCGCATGGTTTGTGTGGTATACAACGAGACTATTTTAGGTTTGTGAATCTTGGTAAAATACAGAATTCGGTGTAAATAGAAAACGAGATAAATGACAGCACTGAACTTACTAAATGTTATGAAATGCATCAGAACCCAGGTCGTTAATACCAAGGACCAACAAACAGCTGTTTCTCTTTCTGTTTTTATCGCCCTTTTTCACTAAAAAGGTCACATCCTTCAGCTTAGTTTCACTCAATATATTTCTCTTGGTTATTCATGCTCCACATCCAGTGGGCATACAAACGACCGCGGTTGCTATATCTGAAAAACAAAATAATAATAAACTGGGCCAATTTAGTTGTATATATGTGTTAAAGAGTGTAGATTTTCTAAACAACAAAACTGCACAGTTATGTGGTGCGTTTGACTTGAAAATGACTGTAGGCCAGCAGAAACACAGCAAATAGCTCCACGATATGGTCACATGTAGCTATGACATGAAGCGGTTTGTCCTGTTTTTAGGTTTTAGCAGAGGTTTCGTACTATAAGCACCAAACACACTTTTAAAATGGTTACATTCTAAATCCAGACAGGAGGTTCTTTGCAAAGTCAGTGCCTTATTATCAGCTTCTTTCTTGCTACCATAAATATATCTAAATAAATTTTAAATAAATTAATTTAGAACTGTAGCACAGAAACTCCCTCACTATACTGCACACTGTCCCAGAATAGTTTAAGGATCAGACAGCTCCAGAAACCATCTGAGCTGTCCAGACTTTAGTTTTTTGGAGTTAGGAAAAAAAAAAACCTACACAATTTTTCAATGAAAATCACTCCACATATATGGCTGTTGTAGTTATTTTGATATTTATTATAGATGTCCATTATAGAGGTGACTGCAATTGCCAATTCACATTTAGTCTTCATATAATTTATTGAACGGCCCCTCAAATTAATAATGATCCTCTATAATTATCCACTTGTGCTTTTATACATTTCAGAAATAAATGCTTAAATGAATGTCTCAGTATTATCTGATATATTTAATATGCGTCCTTTAACATTCTTGTCAAAGTGATGTTTAAGTTGGAGGTCCTGAAATAGAAATCCTGACGAGCTAGTTTGTATCTATCAGGCAAATTTTTAAATGTGTCCCCAACAGACACAGTGCTGTCAGTCCTCGTCTCCTCCACTGGATAAACCTGTTATCATTTGCAGCAGGTTTAACTAGTGTTATAACTTAATCAGAGGAATCATGAATTTGAATTTTGGCCACATGGCCGCAACTGATAAACAAGCTTTACATTGTAGTGTAAAGTTAGAGACCTTTGCATTTCAGAAGGAAATGGTCGCACTCAGGCAGACTCAGAGTAAAGCAGTGCACACTGATTTGACTGGTGAATGAGAGACGGTGCAATCAAAAAGATCCCACAGAAAATTAGCTTAAACTCACCAGCGTGTAAAACTAGAGACTGATGATTGAAAACTCTTGCACATTTTATGTGAGCTAGGCTTAACTTTGTTGGGCACTGAATCTGGGTCAACATTATCTCCTTTTTCTCCTCTAATGGAGGCTAGTCCAGTATGGTGAAGAAGATAAGAAAGAAAGTACTGGGAAATACTGCTCCTTTACATTTAAAAACTGGCTCTCATTTCATCTACCACTTCTAGGTCATTTCACTGTTACTAAGTATGAAAAAAAACTATTCAACCTCAGCTGCTGTGTTCAAGTCAAACATAGTTTTCATCTGTAAAGATTGCTTACTGTGAAAAAAATATTTAGCATCTTAAGAATTTTTTTTTGGGGGGGGGGTTAATAGTTTTTAACTAATCTTTTGCATTCAAAATAAGAATCTATTATTTGACTAATCTTATGTGTAGTTTGGCATTACATTTGGCTTAGCTTAAGATTCTGTGCATATAGCCACTGTGTTGGTCTTCACATGTCGATGTTGTGTAAATGTTCAACTGTTAGAGGAGTAAGATAAACAGCTGACAAGGTCAAATGTGAGATGTCCGGATTATTGCGTTCTGGCAAAATGAACATTTGCTGGCAAATAAAACTTGAGGCCACGCAGACCCTAAAAAGGTCTCTGTGACCCAGAGTTGGACCTGTAAATAAACTCTTTAATCTCAAACTGTGACCAGCACACTGATCTTTTATTGTAGTTTCATCTCCTTTCCCACCAATACAACTTCTTATCAAGTTTCTCAAAATTATATTACACATAACCAAAAAAAAATGAAGAGTAGGAGGCTGATACAACATAGGAAGGGGCTTTTGAGATCTCATGCCTACATGTAAATGTAGCAGCAAATATAAATCATTCACTTTAGAGCTCTTTGGGTAAAACTGGGATCAAACCATGGCAAAGTCCTTGTTTTCTATAGATAAGAACCTTGTTTAACAAACACACTCCAGTGGATGTACTGGGGGCAACTCAGGGTTCAGTATCTTGTCCAAGGATGCTTCAACATGCAGAATAAGGAAGTTTGGGGCACAAACCACAGACTTTCCGATTGGTAGACGACCCAGTCTGTCTTATGAGCCACATTCACCCAGTTAAGAAGTACATATGGAGAAGGTGTGAAACAGCTAATGATCCAAAGCATACCACATAACCTGTAAAACATACTGGAGTCAGTGTGATGGCACTGGGACACTAGTGTTTGTTGATGATATGGCAAAGGGCAGAAGCAGCCAAATGAATTCTAAAGTTTTCAAAGATAGTGTCTGCCCAAATCCAGCTAAACACAGTCAAACTGATTGGGGGCTTTTCATAATACAGATGGACAATGACCCAAAACATACAGCCAAAGCAACCCAGGAGTTTATTAAAGCAATGAAGTGAAATATTCTTGAATGACACACTCAGTCACCTGATCTCAACCCAAGTGATCACGCATTTCACGTGTTGAAGACGAAACTTCAGACAGGAAGGCCTGCAAACAAACAGCAACTGAAAGCTGCTGCAGTAAAGGCCTGGCAGAGCATTAAAAAGATGGAAAACCAGCATCTGGTGATGTCCATGAGTTCAAGAATTCAGGTTGTCATTGCCTGAAACCAGAAATAAACATTTTATTTTCAGTTATTTCATTTGTCCAAATAGTTTTGAGTCCCAGAAATGACGGGATTGTGTTAAAAATGCTTTAGTTCCTCAAATTTTTATGCAGTCTTTTTTGTTCAACCCAGTGAATTAAAGCTGAAAGTCTACCATTTGACTGCATCTGAGTTGTTAAATTTAAAATTCATTGCGTTAATGTACAGAACCAAAATTAGAAAAAAAGTAGCCTCTCTCCAAATATTTATGGACTTAACTGTCACTGCGAAATCAGGCTGCACTGACATGCTATCAGTTTGGATCCATGCAGTGTTAGTTTTAAAAACATTTGGTGACAGATACAATTTGAGGCTATGAAGACCTTTAAAAGGTTTGTGTGACCCAGATTTTGGATTTGTCAACAGATATTTAAATGTTTCTGACTGTCGAAAGTTGCTAAGCTCTGATTGGTGGTTTTTTTGCCTGAGGAGGTGGGTTTATAAGAAAAAAAAAAACTTTAGGGTTGGTAGCAAATAAATGGTACAGCTGACTGAAACTGTGCACTTTGGAAGTGTCCAGATCAGACAGCTGAGAAACCATGGCAAAGTTCTGGAGTGCCAAATTTTTCATGGCACTAGCTTGGCTAGGCTCTTTAGCTGGGACAGAGGTGGAGGCTCAATACGTTCCACCATTCGCGCCTCCTCCGTGGCAGAAACCCCAGGACCCTCAAGTTCCACTGTACCGTCCTCCTCCGTGGCAGAAACCCCAGGACCCCCAAGTTCCACCATTTCCGCCTCCTCCTCTTCCAAAGCCCCAGAACCCTCAGATCCCTCCACCATACCGCCCTCCTCCACCGCAAGATCCTCAACAGCCTCGACCTCCTCCTCCACCTCCGCCATATCAGCCTCCTCCGTGGCAGATTCCCAAGAAACAACCTCCGCCTCCACCTCCACCGCACATCCCTCCTATACCACAAAAGCCCCAGCAACCTCGACCACCTCCCCGGCCATTCCCTCAAGGGCAAGTCCCACCTTTTCCTCAAGTATCCGATGATTACTTTCCCCAAAAACCAAAAGTCCCAAAGAATCAAAAGGTGCCTCCGACGCTGCCACCTGCTCAGAGCTGTGATGTGGAAAGAAGTGTGAGAGTCCCATGCGGAACTACTGGTATTTCAGGTGCTCAGTGTGAATCCATAAAATGCTGTTTTGATGGCAATCAGTGCTACTTTGGAAAGGCAGGTGAGGTTTCTTTGGTTTGTTTTATCTAATAAATGGCTCCAAAGCTGTTGTCAACAAAACCTTGAAGTCTGATTACACTAAAAATATTCAAGTAAAAGTGGTGTTCTTAATCTTTATGTTGTTTACAGTTTGTCAGCAACATCAAATCCTTTATCTGCCAACTTTTTTTTTTATCACCAGTGACTGTCCAGTGCACTCGGGATGCCCAATTCGTTGTTGTTGTCGCCAAAGATGTTACTCTACCCCACCTTGACCTCCAGACAATCTCGCTGGCAACAGGTGGTCCTGGCTGTTCATATGTTGACTCCAATTCAGCCTTTGCCATATATCAGTTTCCTGTTACTACCTGTGGCACTACCTTTATGGTAAAACAGTGTATTCTCCTACTTTTCCACCAGTCAGGCAGGGTATATTTGTAAATATTGTTATCTTACCAACCACGTTTAACCTTTTGCAGGAGGAGCCTGGTGTAATAATCTATGAGAACAGAATGACTTCCTCATATCAGGTGGGGGTTGGGCCTCGTGGATCTATTACCCGAGACAGTCACTTTCAGTAAGTAAACATTTTAGAGTGTCCTGACATTAAATTAAAGTTTTGGACTGTGTAGCATGATATCACTTTCTTTTTCAGCTTCATCTTCCAGTGTAGGTACATCGGCACCGATGTTGAAACTGTGATTGTAGAAATCCTACCGTTACAAAATCCCCCTCTGCCAGTTTCTGCTATGGGACCCATTAATGTAATCTTGAGGTTGGCCAATGGACGATGCCTTACAAAGGGTTGTAATGAATGTAAGTGTATTCCAACTTAAAAGAGTCCATTCGTTTGCAAGATAATGTAAAATCTTGTAATAATAATTGACGTGTCTGCTCTCACAGTGGATGTGGCCTATACTTCGTTCTATACGGAAGCAGACTACCCTGTGACCAAAGTCCTGAGGGACCCTGTGTACGTGGAGGTTCAGCTTCTCAAAAAGACAGATCCGATGCTTGTCTTGACTCTTGGTCGCTGTTGGGTAACCACAAGCCCTTTCCCTCACTCCTTCCCCCAGTGGGACATTCTGATAGACGGGTAAATAAGATACCAGTGTGCTCAGTCCTGTTTGTGACAACATGTAGAATTTTAATCAAAATGTATTTAATGCTAGATTTTTGAAGAAAATAATTTTATTAATATTTGGGAATGAAATAAAGACATGGTTTTGATAAATCATCCAATAATCTAATAAGCTGAAAGGTTCGTCTGTAGTGGACACACAGTATATTATTTATAATCGATCTTACCCGTAGCTGGTATTGCTGAAGACAAAAAAACTGTTGGCTAGTGTTCTCTTAAATAAAATTGTTCTCCATGCACTCCATCCAGATGTCCATACCGGGATGATAATTACTTGTCCTCACTGGTACCAGTGAGTGCTAACTCTGGCCTGGACTTCCCCAGTCATTACCGGCGTTTCGTTTTCAAAATGTTCACCTTTGTGGGTTCCTCAGTAAAGGACCAGAAGGGAATGGACCCACTGCATGAAAAGGTAATTAGTACATCAGTTTGAGCAGTGTTTCTGCACTAACTAAATATTTTTCCCTTTTAACCAACACGCTTATCCTTATTCCTTCAGCTGTACATTCACTGTAGCACAGCCGTGTGTGTTAGCGGACAGTTTGTCAGCTGTGAGCCAGCATGCCACAGGACAAGTAAGATATAAATTCATAGTCTCTAAGATTCAAATGCAAAATGACCTTCAATCTGATCATGTTTCTATTTCCATGTGTAGGGAGAGATGTCGAGGCTGAAGACCAAAATACGAATGAACCAAAGACTGTGGTTTCCTCTGGGCCACTGATCATGACTGCTCCCGAGCAGTTAACAGCTTGACCTCAAGAACTTTGCTGAGAACAACAAGTTAAAAAAAATCTGCAACATGAAACGGTTATTAGTAGTATGAAGTGGAAATTAGATTATAATGTAGGAGAAAAGAATTCAAGTGTGCTGTAGGAAGAAATATGTCTAATGATGTCATTGAAATTTATATTAAAGAAGTATTGGCTCCAACATGATGTAAATTAGTTTGTTTTTTGCTTGTACTATACCTTTTTTACCAGTGACATTCCTAAAAAGGAGAACCAATTTCTGTAGTACCCAAGTCATGCCTTTATAATGAATCCTACATAAAATACAAAAAGTCATCTTTCCCCAACCACATCCCTTTATTTTAAGAAAATTTTTAGAAAAGATTAACAGATAACAGACACCTTCCCAAAATGATTTTGGGAAGGTGTCTGTTATCAAACAAACAAAAACAAGATATTAGATATTGGTTCACAGCAAATCTGTAAGCAGGTATATGGACCCAGAATGCAGAACTAAACTCACAATCACAGCATTATAACTGGTAAACAGGTGACAAAAACCAAAAGCTAAACAACAGATCCTGAGACATGACAGATTGGGGAGACACAGGGACGATGAGATGAACGTGGCAACATGGAGGCAGAACACATAGAGACCAGACGGACAGGACTGGGGAGATCAAAAGTAAACAGAAATTAAATAAATTTGCAACGTAATTTATGTTCCAAATTATAAACTAAGGTGAAAATTGTGCAGAAAGTTTAAAATCTTCAGAAAGATTAGCGTAATACACACTCACCAGTCACTTTGTGAGGTATACCTGTTTAACTACTCGCTAATGAAAAAATCTAATCAGCCAATGGCATGACAGCCACTCAATGCATTTAGGCAGGTGCAAGTGGTCAAGGTGGTCTGCTCAAGTTCAAACTGATCATCACAATGGAGAAGACAGATTATTTAAGAAACTTCGAATGTGGCATAGTTGATGGTTCTAAACACGCTCGTCAGAGTATTTCAGAAACTGCTGACTTACTTGGACACAAATATCTCTCAGGTTTACAGAAAATGGTTGGAAAAATCCAGTGACTACATGGGAAAATTATGAAGAGAGAGATTTGATGTCGGCTGTAACATTCAGATGCCAGTAGGATAAGATAATAAGGTGAGAGATTCTAAGGTGCTCAATCCAGTAAAGCACCTTTTGGATGTGGTTGAATGGGAGACTGTCACACATGTATGTGCAGCTGACAAATCAGCAGTAACTCCGTCATGTTATCATGTTAATACGGACCAAAATCCCGGAGTAATTTTCAGCACCTCATTGAATTTACCTTATGAAACAGCAGTTCTGATGTGGGTCCAACCCAATACTAGCAAAGTATAGTTACTGAAGTGTATGTTATAAACTGAAAAATAAATAATAAAAATTGTGCCTTTTCAGTGTGCTTAAAAAACAACAACAAAACAAAAAAAAAAACCACACACGAACAAATACTGGTAGAAGAAAAATAAAATAAATGTTAAAGCCCTCTATTTAAAGTAACATTAGTAGACTACAACAAAAACATGAAGGAATAAGGCTGCTTTAAACTGTGACATGAATTTTACAAAATATATTGATGAATGTTCAGAGATGCTGGTGCAGTTCTGAATTTAAATCACAAATGTATTAATAGTGTAACGCTAGTAAATGCAATAATTTGGTCTTACATATATTAAAGCTTATTTAGTAACAGAGGAAACAGAAAACAAATGACTTTCAGATATTTTATTACAAAAACAAATTCTAAGTATATATTTGCCATGTTTGAAAAGGCTTCTAACAATCTGTAACACTGATCATACAAAAGCTGTGGAACCTCAGTTCTCCATGATACAAAGCCTGAAAGCTACTTGACTGGAGCTCAAAGGTATGCACTTTCACAGGTTTTCAGCTTAAAAATTACACTTGAAACTGAGAATGTAATTCCAAGAAATCCAGCTGTCAGAGTTTTACCACACAGCAGTAAACAAAGTAACAAACAAAAAACAAACAAAGCACTGATGAAAACTTTACTGGACTGCAGACAGTGTGTGGAAAAATGTTTAAATAACAGAAGTAGTGAATGTATGAAACAGGAAAAGGTTTCATTGCAATTAACAATCTCTGAATTTTAGACTGTAATGCTGTATTTATTATAATAAATCAGGATCGGTATGACAGCACAAAACATTTCACTAAGCTGAAAAATACAGAAAAAAAGACATCAGTCAAAAACCTACCAATGAAATATCAACAACCAGCAATGACTTTTACAGGTCTGATATATCTTTGATTAGACATACCTTCTGATTTGTGAACAACTGAGTAAATGAAAGGACATGAAGGAAACCTAAGAATTTCCACATAAAGTAACAGTGTTTTCCAGTTAACAGTAAAATATGAATAAACACATCATCACAGATCGCTGATTGTCTTGCAAGTAAATTTGACTTCATAAGTGCTGGTTTTCCTCCCGTACAAAAGTTACTAATGGAAGCAGTGTAGCGGACCATCACTGAACATCATACGAACATTTTATTGGCACAGCCGAAAGGTCTGGTGTTTGCATTTAACAGCAGCAGTGGAGTGTTTATTATGCCGCTCTATACAAAAAAAGCCATTTAATTTTATGGATGTAGGTTTTACCAACAAACACACACATGAAACTAAACAAAACAAAACCAACAGCAAAACGTGCACACTGAACTTCTGAGTCCCACGTTGCTCTTTTCCTGCTCAACAGTGCTGAATCAGGTGAAACGCCGTGCCAGCGTTACCACTCAGCTGAGCGTCTCTGCATCAGTCAGACTTGTCCTTCTTTTTGCCTCCCCCTATAGGAACTTTGCTGGCTACTGCGGAGCCGACAGCAGTTACTCCTCCAGCAACAGCACACACTCCCCCTTTAACCAGTCCTACTCCCATCACAGGCACGGCGACTACGGAGGTGACAGCAGTTTTGGTGAGGTCCAGACCCTTTCCTCCTATCCAGGTCACACCGCCTACTGTTGCTCCCAAAGCTCCCTTGGTGGCACCGTATAAGCCCCCCGCCAATCTGCCGAACATGCCCGGCTGAGCCACTGGATGGTCCTTGTTGTCTGATTAGAAACATCAAAAATATCATCTTACTTTTTTTTTTTAATCCTCTGAGCCATCCTGAACTATATTATACAAAATAACACTTCACCCACAGCAACAATTCTTGCTTCACATATAAATCTAAATTATTTGTGACATAATTGCACTAGGGCTGCCACAAACGATTATTTTGATAGTCGACTAGTCACTGATTAGTCGACTAATCAGATCATCATCCATTGGACATAAAACGTACCGCTTATTGCACCAGCATGCATCTGCTCTTATATAACTATCATTAGTTTACAGCTTTAAGTGTTTAAGATATGTGCTAACTAAAAATAAAGACAAGATGATAGTTTATTACATTTTAATGAAATTTGCAGATTGTTCGGTGAAGTTTAATAAACTCAGCAGTCTGCTCCTTGCTATCTAAAGTATAACAGGACACCGGAGTATATTCTCGAGCCTCACACTTCTGATAATCAGTTGTCTGCTTGACGTTATTCAGCTGTGTAAAAACTATAACTTTAATCTCAGCCAAACCGATTTACTCAGGAACAAATAAAATACTGATAAAAGCCAAACAATAAGATTTTTAACTTATCTAAGTGACTTCCATATATTTAACCTGAGTAGCGAAAGACTGCTAACTAAAAATAAAGACAAGATAGTTTATTAAATTTTTATGAAATTTGCAGATTGTTTCGGTGAAGTTTAATAAACTC